TTGTAGTTTTTGTACATTTTTCTCAAATCTATAACAATAAATAATAGGTAGACCAATAATGTTAGTTTCAAATGACACTTGGTAACACGGCAACGCTAATGATACGTTCAATTATTGTTAATCGCCAAAAAAATAATTGTTCATCGCACACAATTAACCCTTCAAAATTATTCGGCAATGTTCCTTTCAAGCTTTCAACGCCATTGTTTTTGCCAAAAACCGCGCGAACATAGCCATTAAGAACCGGTTTTATAGAAGCACAAGACAAAACGCGGTATGTACTAACGCAGCCGTGTAAATCGAGGCGGCTTCACTCGTTCGAGCGTGTTTGTATTTGTGTGTTTGAGCGTAAGGTAATAGACCACATGTAACCGATTCCCAAGTCTCCAATTAAACGACCGACGCATAGTGGTGGTAGTGGTAGATTGTATAGAATCTACATGCATGTATACTTAGTTCTTCGGCTGCAACATGCTGATGATCGCAGCGGCGAGCGGAGAGATTGAAGTATTTTACCAATAGTTTTATTGTGTGAGTAGTTTTTTTTATTCAATACACCACATGATAGTCTGGGGTACTTCTAAAAAGCAAAATTCTGTCTGTTATCATAGAATTTCACTCAATATTTAATGCTGAGGTTGTTTCGTCGTTGTTTGATTTGAATACATCACACAGAGCCCTACGTAATACTGTAGTTTATTGACGATGATATAACCAAACACATTGTATAATTCATCGCGTGAAAGTGTCGGAGAATAGATTCTGTTAATTTAAATAAGAGGCGTTTTTAACGAAGGTTAAATTTGATTACGGTCCTTTTTAATTTATCAGTAAATTCCACAAATTACTTAAAAAGCATTTAAAAAATCTCATGCTTTGGAAAATTTAATTCGAGCTAATCCTCATCTAAATCTCTATTGTCATATTGTCGATACCAATCTCAAAGCCAACTTTTATGTTCATGAGAATGATTGCAATCAATTATATGCGGAGTGAAATTTAACCGACACGAAGTCACGATTCGTTACTCTATTCTAACGACCAACAATCTATAACTGGTTTATGCCCGCGGCTTCGCATGTTTGCTTTTTTCCGAAATAAGACAGAAAATTTGTAAGGGATGAATAATATCTGTGAACTATATATAATATTGTGTCAATCCAACGTATATCAAATTTCATTTGAAGCTATTACCCACTTCAATTTTGATGTGATGTGATGATATTTCTTCCGCTTCACAACTCAATTATAAGTCTATTTCCAAAAATTACCTACCTCAAATTTCCATAAATGCGAAATATATTTTGACCTACATTTAAATTTTGAATCATAATAAAACTGATGAAATCTTAACCGATGACCGAATCTATTTTTTTTCTTAACGCGTGCGGCGTTATATATTCAAACTTTTAATAAAAAAATATCATAGAGTTAATTGTATTAGCAGATTTGTCGAATAATGTAACAGATGAGTTAACGTTCGTGTGTCCGCGGCCTTATGCGCCGGTTGAAATGTACCCTTGGCTATTTATTACCGCACGGAACGTGGGAAAGTATAGAGGAAATTCTGCAACTTATAAGTAATCGATAAAATCTGCGCGCTATCAGAGATGCCTTGTTAGAAAACTACTTTTGATACGTCTTTATGCGATGAAAATTATAATAATCTAAGTTTAATATTTGAGCGGCCTGACAACATATTATGCTTAAAACTTGAAAAAAAAAAAAAACGCTTTCACTCAAATTCTTGACTGGGAGATACACGGGCTTGTATTACGATTTGCGTAAATCAGCCACTAGAAGACATTGAATCCTGTAGTGCCTTAAAAATAATTACAAATAGGGTTATTATTCTTACGTTCAGCTTTGATGAATTAAGAAAAATATATTAATATGAATTGAATTTGCCTTAATAGTGAATGTATACATTAGGTAGGTACTCTGTCATTAGCGCCTTTAGCCTAATTTATCTATTTATATGCTCTTTTTTTATTTTCAATTAATAAAAAAATCATAACTTATTTTTTCCAAATAATGTTACCGTGGGAATGGTGGATTCTGTGTGATCGTCTCATAGTCTGCATAATATTAAAACGACAACGATTTATTTAGACTAATTATATAGACTATTCTGGCTAATAATTAAGAAGTATCGAATCGCCAATTTGGCTAGTTTCATACTCATAAAGTAATAATTAGATAAGATTAAATGCGAGATAAAATTCTTTTTTAATTAAAATTCTAAAGCATTTCGCTACAGACGTCTCCTAAATGTGTACAATGAAAAGTCGTCTTAATTCTTTATCACAAAATTTGGTTCCGTTTATTCAAAATTTGTAATCTGCCGGCCGAAAGCTATAATGTCAAGGTAGCGAAATCCTTTAAATTTCATCTATTGAACATTCAATCTTTGAACTTAAACTAAATATGACTTCACTGCTTACTTCTATTCCGATTATGATGAGTCAGGGATTAAAATGTCGTGTGAGGGATTGAAAACGCAGAATGGATTTATTTGTTGTTTAAAAAATACTTACCACCTGTAGTTTTTGTGGGCCTGAAAGCCCCGAGAAAAGGGATCTACCCTCTAAATAAGAATACTTGTCACTATTTCACTCCTATATTATCAGTACGCATCGTTTTAACCACCAGTTTTACAGAATAACGTTCTTAGTCACATGTACTAAATAAAATAACCTTCACTTTAAACAAGCTTTATTTATAGCGTGACATAATCAAGAAAACACTACTCAGACTGGTTTACGTAAATGACTCTGTTGACCAAAAATGTTTATTACCTCTGCTGCAAATTCAAGGAAACACCCAAATAAGGTGTGCGAATTATTTTCAAGTAACTTCTATTCTTTAGCTGTGTGATTTCAGCTTTTACTCGGCAGTAGTTAGGTTGTAATTGAAGTAGCATAAAACTGATCTGTTCGAGGATTAATAGGAGACTAATTAGATTGTAAATGATTAAAGCTATCACAAATAGGTATAAATCTTCCTGCAATTAGCTTCGAATAAAGATACCTATGTTGTTCGAAAACGTTTTCGAGATACAACTTTACTTAGATTTCTAAGAGCCTTAAAGTAAATAAATATTTCGCCAAACGTACAACATATACGTACTTCTGTAACACAAGACAATATCAATCAAGGTGAAATCGCGTTCGTGTCCGTTGAAAAATTGCGCAATATTTTCCAATTGGACCCAAACAATACGTCCCCCGTGAAGACGCAGTGACGACATTTGCACAAACGGTTAACAGCCGGCTTCCTGTCGCGCTAACATTGAACCACTTCTGGCCGCGAGCGCCGGCCAAGTGCACCAAGGGTGCTATTACGGGGACAGGAATAGACACTGTATTCTATGTCGCTAGTTTATCCACCCACGTAGCGCGGACGGCGTTGTAGCCGCGCGAATATTATAAAGGCGAAATTTATAAGAGTTTGTTCCCTCTCTGCGCCGCCAAACTGATCTTGAAAGTTGGGATAAAGCTTTTGAAACGGAGAATTATGTCACGTGAAAAATAAGGTTATTATTATTTATTTATTGCTCTTTTATTTCGATAACAAATAGTTTAGTAAAGCTGCATCAGAAATTCAGTCTCCCATGTTATTTAAATTTCCATCCATTAAAAAACAAATTTGCACAGCAGTGACTGTGCTTTCGACTACGTGTTGTAATTTTAATTGTTTTAAATTTCGAGAAAAATAAGTTATTTAGCGAAAGGTCAAAATTAAGGCAATATTAGCAATTCAAACTTTGTTGTAATGTTAGTAGCATAGCTTCCCCGGATACTATTTTTTTAACACCATAGAAGTATTGGTTCGTATTTGTGTCAAGTCCGCACATCTAAGTCCCGGGTGGACATGGGGTGACTTCTCACTTTCTTAAGGACAAAAATAGGCTGCCAAGACATTTGAGAGAGTCGCTTTATTACGATAAGAAATGTTCTAACCTACTTTATCAAAGCGCGTTTCGAACATTACCTACTTATTATCTTAAATGTAATATATATTTTGCGGCCAGGTGGGTCAAATGGATTATTCAAATTCGAGTTAAATGCTGTAATCATTGAAAGGAAGTGCGTTGATTCAAATTGTCGTGTATCTGCAGTAGCAATTATTGGATCGTTGTAGTTAATAGTCCCCAGAGGTAGACTCCACAGAGTCATTTGATTACGATGCGAGGTTTATATTAATGTTCATTATTTTTCAGAGTTAACTTGGTTAAATAGCTCTTTTAGTAAAAATTATTATAATTTACTAAAAATTTCTAAACAGGATTTTATTTTTAAGGAAAAATTACTTTGTTAAATTACTTTATTAATAATTGTATAATTGTGATTGTGTATTTGTGATACATTGGAATATTAATTAAGTATATTAAAGAAAATATTTTTTCTTATTTCAGGTGGCAGAATTCAATCAAAATGATCTGGCTACGCATTTCTGCTGGCTTCCTAGCGGTGTCCTTACTGCTGGCTCCTGTACTTGCGGCAGTATGTCCGGAGAGTTGCGTATGCAATACGACTAGAGATGGCCTTCACCGTGTCACCTGCAGCAATCTCGCCGAACTTTATAAATTCACTCTCAGACAAAAGCATCATAATATAAATATTCTAGACCTGTCCCACAATAACATAACAAAGTTAAACCATGAACTTGATCGATTAACTGAAATCGTAACATTAGATCTTTCAACAAATGGTATCACAGATCTCAATAAGTTTCTACACAATGCAAAGAAATTAGTGCATCTTAACCTAGCCAATAATAGGATAAGAAAGCTGTCTTTGACACACTTGCCTACAAGTGTTAGTTCTCTAGATTTAACTAACAATCTGTTGCAAGATGTACCTTCGGATTTAGGACACTTAATTAGCTTGGAACATTTAGAACTTGAAGGTAACCCGTTGGAATGTTCATGTGAAAACATTATAGCTCGTGATCGTTTGTTAGCAGCAAACGTTTTTATTGATAATGTAAAATGCGCCATGCCAATAAGGCTCCATAATCGCTCTTGGCTAGAGCTGAAAATTAAAGATATTTGCAAATCCACTAAAACTGAAAATAATCTTGATATGATGTTGGGTGACCAACCGATTGATGCGATAAAAGTTGGCGAGGAAACAACTGCTTTAAAATCCATGCCACTTGTAGCAAAAAGTGACCTGGAAGATGGTACAGTAATCAAAGGAACAGATTTAAATGAAGACGATGACAGCGAACAGTTTTTGAGAGTAGGCCGTTTTACAACATCGGCACCTTCAAATGATATCGAAGGTTCGGGTGAAGGTGAGAGTACTACAATCAGTGATATAATTGAACCAATTCATAACCATAAATTTCTTACTAATTTACTTGCTACGGAGGAAGTAATTCCTGCTGATAAATTACACACTACTGATGATCCAATAGAAGGATCTGGTGAAGGCTCGGGATTTTACATTCCAGAGTATGAGGACAACACCGAAAAGCTTCCAGAAACCACAACTCCATTATATGAAGACCTGAACCCAGGCCCAGTACATAAGATATTCGAAGACGATTCAAATATAGTCACTACAGAATTTCCAATGCCTGCACCTCCGACTATTTTTGAAGGTGGTTCCGATTGGCATAGTAAAAATAACCCTGAAGTTGTCACGGAAACTATTGCAGCTGCAACACCGCAAATTACACGAGACACTACTGTTTCAGAACAAATTCGTGTCACACAAGCTTCAGAGGTCTTAGGGCAAATACCTGCAAATAACGAAAATTTTGCCCCACATAAAACGGGAACTTACATTTGTATAGCTCTCATTGTAGTGCTACTTGTCGGTTTGATTGGGTTTGCAATAATGAAAGGACAAATAAGAAAACGTAGAGATAGGCGACTTCTGAGACAGCAAAAGAGAGATGTAGAAAAAGCTTCCAAGGAAATGGTCGATATGAACAAATCGTTATTAGGTAAACCAGCACCTATTAGTAACCCCGTTGACAAAAAACTAAACGGAAAGTACGAACTAGTGCCTACTCATGAGAGTGTTCAAAAGAAAAGTGATAACGGTGAAATTGGAAATGGCCTAAGGCACCGCGAAAAAAATGGTATTGATAGTCCTACAGACTCGAATCAGAATAAGCGAAGCTCTATCGATAATAACTTAGCCGAGGATAACCAGGTATCGCAACAGGAAACTTCATTCGAGTCTGACCCCGCTTCACCAGAATCTAGGAAAGATACGCACTCACTATCCAGCGAAGATTTATTCGTTCCTTTGAACGACGATGACAACACGAGATTAAATGGCAATGCCGATTCGGATGTGTCTCAGCCTTTGATAAATGGAGATGCTATTACCGATGCTGATTTCTTGTCACCCTCGCGAGAGTATGTTCCCGTGTATTCACCAGATATGGGAAGGGTACGGATCAAAATGACAGAGACTCCGAAACCGAAGACGCCGGTACTAGTCACCAGAAGTAGATCGAACGCTGGAGACATCATTATAACACCCTCAGAGGAAAACACACGTAAATCGACCACTTGAAACTTAGTCTCCGTGGCAAGGACCATAATTGTTGTGTAGTGTGTCAAACAACAAACATTTCACTATTGGCGAAGTTTTGTGATTATATATGTGCGTAAGAGGGAACTCGTAGGTGTGAGGGTATTTCAAACGGTGTGTAATATTCAGAGAAACGTTGCTGCCAAAGTGTGTTTGTAGTCGACAGTGCCTTTTTATTCGATAGTGGTAAAAATGTATTTATAAATTTATATTTCGCGATAAGAAAACATATTTTTATACATGTAAATTGTTGCCATGTTCATTTTAGTAATAAATTTCGTTTTTGTTTATTCAATTCAGTTGTAGGAATATCATTTACATACGTAAAAATAATGTTACATGTGTTCCAATATATTATATAGGCAAATGTTTTAGTCTGGATATGATTCTTGGATTGTCAAAGGTTGTGTACTTACTTTATACAGAACATAAAAAAATACACGATAGACACCAAGCGATGAATGTTATGACCGCTGTTGGTTTTGGTTGATAATTCCAAGTATTTCCTATTAGAGATTTTTTGTTTCAAGTTCTAACGTAAGTTCCTTATAATTAATTTAATTGAGGTAGTTTTTAAGATTGTGATACCATTTATACTAAGTTAAACCACGCTATTATTTGATATGTTAATGATTAATTAAATTTTGTCATACATTTTTAAGATTTTATAATTTGATGTTACTTTTTTTTTTAATTTAGCATTACTGGTACATTTTATCTCATGTCGCTATACTGTCCTGTAATCTCACCATTGTATTTGAATTGCCTTTATTATACATCACTAATTTAAATATAAAACCGCTATTTAAAACCATGAGGAATCAAATAGAAAAAAAATAAAAGAATTTATTGTAAAGATGTCATTCATGTAATTTTATTTCACACGTAAGTTATAAAAGGTTAATTAAATTTTTGTTTTCTTTCATGTCCCTCAAAAATATTTTTGCACATGACGAGCTCATCACGACATCATGTTGATGACGATCAAGTCTATTTGATCTAGTAGATCAGAGTGCATATGACCATTGAGTTTACAAATTATTTGTACCCATTACTCGCAAAAATAAATAAAGAATTTTTTAAGCATTTTATTATTGATAACAATAAACTCAGAACTGTCAAGGTTCAGTAGGTCATTGAAGGTGCAAAAGACAATATAATGGACCTTCAAGCTTGACTTTTGTTTTTGTTTTTTACAACAGAAGGCCGCCAGTTCACGTGATGTTAAGTGATAACCGCCGCCCAGGGGCATAAATTGTAACCCCCGTTGACACCTTTTAATAAAGTGGGCCCCCATTATCTGAGTCACCAAAGTTTGGTTAAAATTATATTTTAATAAAATAATATCGAAAAATGTATTTGCATACATTATATGATGACTCCGTGGCGCAGTTGCCAAGGTATCTGCTTCGGCGTCGGGGGTCGTGGGTTCGATTCCCACACGGGACAACTGTTTGTAGCCCACAGATAGTTGTTTCACATCTGGGTGTTTGTCCGCGTGAAATTTATGTTTGTAAAATGTGCTTACAACACAGGATAATGTTATCCTAAAGTAAGGGCAATGTTTTAAACGGAATGAAAAAAATATTTTAAAATTATTTGTCGTTAGTTCTCTTATGAATTGCAAGACTTTATTCGTAACAGCGATAGATTTAGGTTAAATATAATATTGTATTTAAAATAAAAAAAAAATATGTAGGTAATGTATTAGCGGTTGAGACGTGGATATAAGACCTGAGTCCGGTTCATGCTTTTCATGAGAGACAAGCACTGACTTTTTACTTTAACAAACATGAGTGCCCGTCAGGGATCATGAGACTTTGTGAAAACATTGAATGTTGCAAAATTTCTCAAAGATCAAGTCAAGAGTTAGCTCTTAAAAAACCGGTCAAGTGCGAGTCGAACTCGTATGCCGAAGGTTCCGTACCCATTATATCGCCGTAATAAAATTGATTTGATTTTTGAATACAAATACTAACTCTTTTTTACTTTTTGGAATTTTTGCTTTATTTGAGCTTTTTGCCAAATGTGTAAGAACTTGGTTTTTGACAAATTTAGTGATTCTAGTTCAACGGGAACTACCATATAGGTTTTAGACCCAGAACCTATGGGTTACTTCCGGTTAACCTAGAATTGTCAATTTTGGTTAAAAGCAAGGTCTTACATCACAAGTAATGTACTTAAGTACGTAAGATCTTGCTTTTTAAAATTCCCAAAAAAAGTTGAAATTTTATAGTTATAGTTTAATTTTTGTAATTACAAGTTTTCACGTAAATCTAAATTTTACCATATCTTATTACGCGTTGACAAATTTTTAAACACCTAATAGGGACTATAGAACTCAGTGGTAAAAATTTCAACTTGCCTGGGTCCATCTGTTCCCGAGAAAATCAGAGATGACACACGGACAGAAAGATGGACAAGAGAGTGATCTTGGAAGGATTCTCTTATTTTACCTTTTAAGGTACTCTGATCTATTAAAAAAAATCGTATGTAAACAAATTATAACTAATCACTTATTTTTACTGAACACTGCAAATATCTAACAACCATAGAAGTTCGAGTTTGTGATCCTAAGCCTTCTCTTTCTGTCCTTTCCTTTTATTGACAATGCCCAACCAATTGGTTAATCATTATTTAAACTCGTTTCCTCACAAGAAGCTCTCTAATATCGCAACTTATTAGAGATTTTTTTTGTATAGAAATAAAAAAATATTGATTATAATAACACTTATTTTATTTATTTATTTACAACAATATTTGGATAGCTCAATAATAAATAATTTGTTTGACTATTTAACCCGATGAACTGTCTCATTTCAAAAGTCGCTCTCTCTAGGTTCATCATCATCTATTGAATATCTCCTATTTCTAGGCCGTAAAGGGCGTTCCATTTGGGCTTCAACTTCAATAGTCACACTGTCATTACCACTCGCACCATATTCTGACATACGTCTACGACGCACACCTGGAGATTGATCTAATTCGGCTATCTCGTGGCTGCCATATTTCCTCGGCCGACGGCGACGGCGCCGACGGTTGTTATCGGATGTATCAGTTACATCAACATCATCCACCACGGGTAAATCGCCATTTCTCTCTGTCTCTTCTAGAAGATCCCCACTAGATTTGGTTTTCCGTCTTCCTTTTCTCCTTTTCCGTTTTCCAGTTCCCTCTTCGCATAAAGACTGACATGAAGCGTTGAGTTTCGGCATAGAGAGAGCTTCGTCGTAAGAAGGTGGGGCCACTAAATCTCTCGGATCCGGTGCGTTACACAAAGCCTCTTGCTCAGCTCGCATTCGTAACTGTCGTAGTCTATCCCTGGCTTCCTCAACTTGTCTCACCCTTTCATTTTGCAACGTGGCTAATCGACGATTCATCGACCTTCTTATTCCATTCACTAATACTAAACATAAAGCTAATCCTACAATCATAACAACTACAAACCATATTAAACTATCAGGATTGGCCGCCTTTTTACTAGGATTCCAGGTAAAGTAACAGGCCTCCAGCCAGGTCTGCCCAACCAAATTTACAGGGGTGTTACAAATAAGGTTGTATGATTCTTCCTTTTTGTTTGGTTCCAGTGTCACAAATTCGTAGAAGTCAAACATATTGTTATCACTGCAATCACAGCGCCACATATTGTCTCCTAGGTCCAATCTCTCTAGATATGGATTAGATTCAAAAAATGTTCTACTCCATATCGTTGTAAAGCGGTTACCAATTACGCCTATGCCTATTAATCGAGGTAACATAAAGAAAGTCATGTTGCTTACGTGACTTAATCTATTATAATTCAAATTAATATATTTTAAAGTATTAGATGATATACTATCAGGTATCGATGACAGAAGATTGTGTGACAAGTCTATATCAATAAGAGACTGCAAACCTTCTAAAGAATCTTTACCAATAGTATTAATTTCACAGAAACTCATATCTAGTATTGACACTGATGTTGATCTTAAATGGCCAACTCTTGTGAGATAATTTCTGCGGAGTTTCAGTTGCGTCAGTGAAGGCATCTCTAGTAATGCATCTTCCGGTATATTAGCGAGTTCATTCCATGACAAATCTAAGTACTTTAACATTCCAAGTCCACGAAAGGTATTTCCTTTGAGGGACCCAATAATATTATAGGACAAATCCAAATGCTCTAATTTTGAATTATTAACAAACTTGTTACTCTCCAAAAATCTTATAACGTTATGGCTCACTACCGCTTTCCTTAAGTTGGGAAATCCTGATAAGCTAAGTTGCATTATATTACAGTATGAAATATCTAAATATCTTAAAGAACTGGAAACTAGAGTTTCTGATGAACTAGACAACACAAAACCATTATTATTTGAAATTTTTAAGTAAACCAAAGATGGTAAATATGATAATTCGTTATGATCGATTGAGTTAAGTTGACAATTGCTCACGTATAGACTTTTTAGTGTTGGGGATACAAGTCCTTGAATTCTTGACAAAGGGTTGAAGTTGATTTTTAGCACTCTTATATTGATCAAGCCACTTAACGGTGATCTACCGTGTATCGAACTTATTTCGCAGTTGTCCAGAATTAATGTTTCTAATGAAGGGCTTATTAAAAGTTCCTGATTCGCCAGATTACCCAAACTTTGAAACTTATTATGTGACAAGTCAAGAATCTTCAAATTTGTCGCCGGTTGAATTACTTCATTCGGATTTAAGTTGAGCCAAGTGTCGAAGTTGTTCCGGGACAGGTTTAATATTTCGAGGGCCGTGAGGTTTTCAAGGGCATTTTCCGGAATGGAACTAAGTCGATTGCCGCTGAGGTCGAGGGTTAAAAGATTGTATAACCTGTTAAGATTTTGAGGGAACGTTGATATCTCATTATAAGATACGTTGAGGTTCGCCACCTGAAATTGGGAAACGTCATATATTAGAACAAACATAATTATAAGTTTTAAAAAAATCGTAGATATTATTGAATATTTGGGAAGTACTATGTCGATTTATATATTATTTTGATGGAACGATACCGTAGCAAGGCATACTGACTGGACACAAACACACCCAAGAATAACCGAACCCGTCATCTGATACTATAATAGTATAGTAATTGGCCATAACCATAAAAATGTATTTTCCCTTAAATGCTTTAAAATACTTGGTCTGTTAGGTTTAGAAACCACTCCGATCTTACCAGTTACCGGACAAATAGGTTTTTACAAATATTTATACCCTTTTGGCATGTATTCTTTGATTCACGTAGTGTAGTATATTTTCATTCAGGCTGAGTACAAGCACGTGGTGAATCAACACTAAGCATTGTTAATACTAATAGAAACAAGTAATGCGACACATTAAGATATCTTAACTCATTATTGACAATAGATTCATCACTCGGTTATAAACATGCACCCACAAGTTTTCATTTTGTAATTTTTTTCTTAAAATATCTTTTTTTCATCATTTTCTCCTCGCGCGGAAAGGCTGTAGAAAAGTTTATATTATTATTATATAAACAGTAAAATTTTGTATTGGATTTTATCAATGACGCGTGAGCCCCACCCATTTAATGTATCTGAACTCCTCGCTTATATTATCGCGCAAAAACTGCTCAAGAAAACGCGTACCAAGGAAAAAAAAACAAATTTGTCATGTTTAAAACATACTCAATTTTGTTTTCGATTTTTCAGGATTCGAAATACATTGTTTTTTCATAACTATATGTAAATATGGACATAATTAAAATAAACTTAGAGGGTATATCTGTCCTTAGTATTCTGACACAAGTCTTGACCAACCTAACTAAGCAAACATACATATTTTAAAGTTTTCTATTTACCATCTCGCTGATGCCGTCCGGAACACTCGTCAGGCCTCTTTTGGAACAGTCGACACTGGTCCTATCGACGCTGCACGAACATACGTAGCAAACTTCACCCCGATCACCGCTGTCATCGAATTCTGATATTTCTGCACTCGCCAACAGCGCGAGCAACAGAAGGTCTTTCAATACGAGCATCCCGTCGGCTTATCATACCTGAAATGTTACGAGACATCGTCACCAAAGGCCGAATTCGTTTCTAATCCGCGCACCTGCACCATTGAATTCCGCTTTTCAATTTCAGGTCACGTTCAGCTCACCAAAACCTTCGCGGTCGACCTTATTTTACACACGCGGCCCCACATTAATTTGCCATGAAAATGAAATAAATATCAACATACATACAACAGTTTTATCTATGTTATCTCTGCGTGATAAAGCCGCAGGTTGTAGACTACTTAGATTTAGGTCGATTTAATGTACTTTACCTTTAACGAGAAAAGCAGATAGATCCCACGAAGTTGCAAGGGCTAAAAAGCCTTTCCAATAGATAGTTCAGTTTAATTGGTTTCTGTGAAATATAACGTAATTGTTAAATTGATATAATGACAATTCTTCTGGTTCATACATTAAAATGGAAAATCGTTTTACAAGGTTTAAAGCACATGGATGAGTTTTAAAGTAAGACAATGTTGAATGAGATTGAAATTTTTTTTATTTATCAATTGATGTAGATAGCGAAAATGAATAATTTATCTGATATTTTACTCACCATCATGTATGACTATTAACTGATTCACACTATTGAAAATTTTTTAAATGTTACAACGATCATTACAGAATATCAAATACTGACTATTTACATTGTGACCATTCTTGTTAATTATCAAAAATGGTTTAAAAAAATCTAAACGTCTTTCTTAAGTGGGTAGGTTGCTTAATTTCGTTATGCTTTTGTATCTGCAGTTTTCACGTGTTGCTTCGACTAGGAGATAACATTGTATGAACCGAATTAAGCGCATTACGTGTTATCATTGATAAGGAACTTTGCGAAATCGCAGGCAATATTATGAGTAACCTTTACGAAAGTATCGATTGTCATGTGAAGTTCGACAAGAGTAATTTTTTTGTTTAATATAAATAATAATGCTTGGCGGTAAATTAACAACTTCTACTTTTTACTGCATACGCATATAGTTTAAAACCATATTTTGGTTTGATAAGCAATTTTTGAAAATCCTTTTCTTTTTAACGTAAGATTATTTCTTGCCATCTAGCGGCTACTATCCAAACTTCGTTGAATTTTAAGGTTTAATATAAGTTTATTAGTAGTTTCAATATCTACGATTGCACTTACCGTCAATAGATGGCGCTTATATGTTTTTTTTTATATTTAAATTTCATCTTTATAAATCCTACGTTGAATGATGAAAGTAATTAAATGTTTTGGCAAAAAAAAATACCAAATTTATACACAGAAATACTACTTATGTTTATAGATCACAACGAAATACACTTCAATTTTAAGTTAAATAACGACGATAGTACTAAATTAAATATTTTCTCATTTTGTAATAATAATTTTATTTTTTCATCTTGTAATATCTATCTTTATTTAATAAAACGATATAAATAACCTTTTATAAAGAAGGCTAACAAGGTTCATTACCGATTACCGTCAGTCAATAATCTGAGAGACTTGTTATTAGCTGTTAAGTTGGTTGAGGCATAATTATAAATGTTTGAGGTGCAATACCTACGAGGCAGCTTGTGACGATAATTTTAAATTTTATGTAATTAATATTATCGTTGAATTAAGCATTCATATACATTATAGAAATTTTTAACCGCACTTGGAGGGAAAGTAAACCAAATACGGGTTTTAACTTAAATAAACATTTTATTTCACAAAAATTATATACTACTTTTTGTGAAATGTAACTTAGCAAATGGCAAAGAATAATTTTTGTTTCCATCAAAATGGACCTAATTTCGAGAAACTAATAAGTAAGTTTACTCGGTTTTTTCTACCAATTCAAATAGACTGAAATTTCATACTTTTCTTTTATTTAATTTATGTTGGTTAGAGATTCGCTTCTCTCTCGATTGACACTATCGATTAATGTTGTAGAAGTAAAAGTTGAGTAAAAGTTTGCAATCTCCAATATATAAAGTACTTTCCTCCTGGGTTCGGTTAAATAATTCCATCCTGTACGTATATTTTCTTTTTTGCTTAATTATTTTCATAATTTGAAAATAAATAAAGCTTATTTATTTTCAATTATAATTATTGATTCGGACCTTTTATAAATTCGACAGTCATTACTGTTTTCCCCATAAGGGTTATAAATATTGTAACACAGTTCTGTAAAGATATAATGAATTAAAAGAACTGTACATTATTACTTATGATTACTAATGTCAAAATAACAAATATCAATACAAAATCATATCAAGACAAAAAAAAACTACAAATAATACACAAATTAGTAAATATGACTTATACACATATTTAAGATACGGTGGATATTAAATATGTGTATAAGTCCCCCAAAAGCAAAATAAAACATAAGATAGGTTTATTACCATGTTTTTAATAAAGCTGTTGTAACATAATAATGTTGGAAGTGTAATTAAAACTAATCGTACGGTATCGATTTGTTTTAATTACACTTATAACCAATGTCCATAACCAATTTTCCTTCGTCAATAGAGTATTCCTATGGAAAAGTTAGATATATTATACAGATAATAAATAGTTTTTAGAGCAGCTTGTGTTATTATAATTTAGTATGTTAAACTTCACGCTGAGTTTTATTATGCGCGCTTTGTGAATAATATTTTAAAATATTAATTTTGCTCTATATCATATTCTAACGCCAGCTTTATTTACCATAAGTTAAGCTATGGTAAGTTTGTATACAGCGTGTCGTTACCACCGCGACAATAAATGAACACACATATAGAGGATAACTTTTAAAAATTGTATTAAACATTTGCATTCTTTAAAGATCAATATTTACCGAGTTATTAAATTTTCCAAAGCAAACAATTTTAGAACACCCTCTTACATATAAAACTGTAACGCAAAGTTCATTTGTAAAGGTCACAAAGCATATGAATGGGGTTGAAATAATTTAAAAGAGACAAAACATATTGTTAGAAGGAGAGGCTTGTAATGCGACGTTGTGGCGCGAGTTGTATAGGTAGGATGTTACAATTTTTTTTCTTTTTTACTTAGTTTGTTTGAAAAATATTTTTTTTTTAATTATGGATTTTGTTTAACGTTAATATTTTTTTATGATTATTAGTATGGTAATTGTCGATGGTAACGACACGCTCTATAATTTTTAAAAATAATTTATAAATATCTTACATAAATTACGTTACGCTAAGATTAGTTAATGCGTATTTCGACTGTCCGTCTTATAGATCGCCTGTCTGTTGCTCTAGTCCTGGACTCTGTAAGGTCACCAATTGATCTGGATCTTCGGCATTGGCGTTCAAGATTGTCTTCCTCGTCGACGAAATCCGGTAGAGAGTGGAATGATGAATTGAGGCGCGGCATTAAAAGCGCTTCGTCGTAACTCGGAGGTAGGTCTTCCCGAAGAGGTATCCTCATGACGACGCTTTCAGCTCTGGGCTGAGTAATCACACTGTTGGTGTTCATGACACTGGTCTCTGCGTTGGGCCGTGGTGGGTCGGGCTTGTTGATCGTCATCAAACCCCTGCAAACACACGATGTTGCCACAATTCCTATGATGATACCAATGAACACCGCCATCATTGTGTACGTCTGCGTTGACGTCTCGCTGGGGTGCCACGTCAATATGTAGGCACGCTGCCAACTGAGCTGCGTGACGTTCGACGGTGAGTAGCAAATTAGTGAAGCCCTGTCCGCTATCTTCGGCGGGTCCTTCGTCAAAAACTCGTAAGTCAATAAGAGATTCACGCTGAACCCCTCGCAGCTCCAACGGTTCCCCTTCACGTGGACTTCCCTCAGAAACGGATTCGAGGCGAAGCGTGAGGTCGGCCATACCTCCCTGAACTCGTTCCCTCTCAGATCCAACACTGCCAGGTGCGGTAGCGCGGAGAAAGTTTGGTCCGTTATAACACTGATTTCGTTGTAACTTAAATCGAGCTCCTGCAGCGTACTCGATGTGATTCCGTCCGGGATATCTTCTATTTGATTCATGGACAAGTCGACTTCAAGTAAAGAACGCATGCCAATAAGTGCCGTTGAATCTATAGTTGTTATCTGACAATAGCTCAGGCTAAGACTCCTCAGCGACTGAGACAGGAATTTGGGCACTTCTGAGAAGTAATTTCTAGATAGTATAAGTGTGTCCAAGTTGTTAGCGTCAGAGAAGACATCTGGCGGCAAATTGTAAATTCTGTTTTCCGATAAATCGAGAAAAGACAAATTCGGCATTTTACCGAATGCTCTCCCGTCTATGGTGCTGATTTTGTTTTTAGAAAGGTCTAGCCTTTTTAGGTTGTATTCCTCATCGCTAGAAAGCCATGTCTCGTAATTGTTATTGGATAAATTAAGAGTATGAAGATTCTGCCATCCCTTCATATAAGCCGGCAGCGGGCTCGTTAGGCGATTACCTGACAAATCCAAAATTTCGACTCGGGAGAAATTTTCAAGTTCTCTAGGGAAAGACATGAAGTTGTTGTTAGACAAGACCACCGCTTGAGCCTGAAATTAAAAAAATCTTTTTTGAGATCGTATCGTACTTCAAAAGAGTAATGTGACAAATACTATTAAAGCAAGTAATATTTTAATCAAAGTCTTTTTCTGTGTACTGTTTTCGTTGCAATCTTTTCTGTAAAAGAATTGAGTGTAGTATTTCTCATTTTAAGAAACGCGTAACACTAAACAAGCATATTTCGCAGTATTATTATAGTTACTACTAATTATGACGAGTACAATAAACATTGCATATTATAATGGAGGAACTTACGTCATAATTCAATTTCTCAGGTAATTCCGCAAGTCCAAGATCGGAACAATCCAAGTATAGTAAGTCGTTGAGAGTGTACGTTCGGCATCGTGGCTCTTCCTGCTCTTCTTCGAGGTTCCGTATAACGCCAGCAGTAACTGCCACCGGCAGCAGCCATACCAACAGAGTCAGTACAGCAACATCTGGAATTTTCTCCGTGGTCACAAATTTTGGAATTCAGAATGGAATTTCCTTGAGATTGCGCCACTGTATAAATAGCAATGGCCGAGATCGTATAAAAGTTTGTCTTACGTACAAACGGTTCAATTTAAATAACTAATTTTGGTGTAATTTATTTTGATTTTAACTGTACATTTTGAACACTTTTCATTACTCGTGGATGTAATGCTCAAAGGAGAAAATAACCCTTGGTCGCGTGAAATTGTAAGTACGTAGATATACATGATACCTATAGATAAACAATACCGTAAACATGTCACCGATTATGTGTCCTAATACATCATTGGCATTAGGAATTTTCTGAAGTAGTTTGGGGAATCTTACCCATTAGATACTATATGTTCTCCACTGCGTCTCTCATGTTATTCACTTGTTATGAATTCCTCTAGTTTTCATGTGTATGCGTATTTATCGTTTTCATGAACAACCTCTTAAGTTCGCCACACAATTCGGTAATGGAGCGGCTATCTCCATGTCGCGGACAACACTGGGTGGGCTATGTCCGCGTGCGTACATTACGCACATACAGGGTGTACATAAATAGAAAAAAACATTAACATACATTGTATTTTCAAAAAATATTGACATCTTACGAAATTGCTGTAATATTTCGTTTTTGTAATTGTATATTTTTTTTAGTGGAGATGAAATTTGTGCTTGTTGAAATACCTACTAATGACAACCTATCTTAGGTAAAGTGCTGACAACGAACTTCAGTTGAAATAACATTAAGACTATTTTGTTCTCCTTAGAATTCATGTTAAATATAATATATCGATATAATCCGTTTACATATACGAAAAAACTCAATTTTTAAATCCTTATCACTAAGCTTATTTGTTATAATTTTGTAATTAAAAAAAATATGATCTACATTACTTTTTGAGTAATAATTAATTGTTCTTGAGTTTTTTTTGTGTCTTTCTAAAAACAACCTATATCACCTTAGGTTTATCTACAGGCACTTATCACTGATTAGACGTATCGACTTATCATCCAAACCAAAGAAACAGTTTTCGCTCGAAATGTGTGACTAACGCACCTCAATATTCAAATACTTTCGTAATTCGATGTAAGTGGATTGTTTTCAAAGGGCGTTTTCAAAAAAATTTAATGAAAGATTAATGCTGTGCGTTTTTAATTCCTAAACACGGACAGTTATTTCTACCTGAGACATTTTGAATTTTTAATGCTTGCGGTTTCTACACTAACCGAAAAATATCTCACAGTCGATGCTTTCGACGTTAAAAGATTTGCCCAAAGAAATAATATAATTAAATTACTAAGTTGTGATGTTGTAGAAATATTGCAGGAATGACGCAATGTTACAAGGTTTCTTCACAAACTGTAATGTTGTGTTCCATTTTGCTGTCGATCCTTAGATAGGACAAGAACACCGCAAATAAATGTGAGCCTAGTTTTTACTTTGGCGATTTAATTTTTGTGAATTTAAACAAAAGACGTATTTCAGACAACAACCACCTCAGTTAGTGTTTTGTTAATAAGTAAGGTTAGCAGGAGGATTACATTAAAACGGTTTTCTTGTTATCATTGTCATCCTTGTGGCGCTGGTCCATAATGTAAAGGACTTCTAGTAAATGTTATATATATAGCACTAGCCGAACCGGCAAACGTTGTATTGCCATATAAATTACGAGCTATACATCTGGTGCCAATAAATAATAGGGTGGAATTTCGTAAATTCTTAGCTGACCTCTACTCAGCGAAAGCAATATTCCTACCAAATTTCAAGTCTCTTCGCCTTATGTTTCCAGAGATATCGTGAAGAGTCAATTATTGGTGGAAATCTCTTATATATAACATATATATATATATATGTTATATGTTATATATAGGAGATTTCTAGGACGCTGTTAATCAGCTTTCAAGTCTTTAGTCCAAATATAAGTAGAGACGCTTTCCATTTTGAATTATCTAAGACTAACTTCAATGGTGGCGTCATTTTTCTTTTCATGTGAGAAAGTGGCTAACGAGCACCTGATGTTAAGTGATAACCGCCGCCGATGGACATTCACAACACCCGTACGGCTGCAGATACGTTGCCACCTTTTAATAAAGTGGGTCCTGGCTACCCCACTCACCAGACGAAACGCAGAAGAGTAACACAGACTTCACGCCGGCCTTCTGTGAGGTCGTGGTACAAACGAATTTGCGGGATACAAAGACCGGTCGTGAAATTATACTTAGCCAACACCCCAATAACATGCAGACAGGAGAAAGAAGAAATTAAATCCTTAAAGCGTGTATTATTTTTTGTTTCAAACTGTTGCTCAACCATTGTAAACATTTTTGTCGTACATTTGAATCTTTTGTCATCCTTATCAGATGGGCGTCACATCAGATAACGAAAGTTAAGTGATTATGTAAAGCGGTCAGTTAAGGTTCTGATAATCTGACAAATTAGACGTGTATTTCAAAAATGATTTGATAGTTATCACCTAGTTTTATGTGCTTAGTATCCTTTATAATGTTCGTCATATAAGAGAATTCTTGTCTCAGTTATGCATAGGGCATCGTCAACACGCCGCCGCGCCGTCGGGCCAACTATGATGATACTAATGTCGTGTTTGTCGAACATATTTTATCCAATTCATTCTTTTTGATACACTCGTACAATCAAAACGTAAGTCAAGGCTTGACAAACAATTAGATAAGGCCCTAGACTATTTAAATTCCTTCACCATTCTTTAGTCAGAAGGGTGACTAGGCATTTTGTTATCCATTTTATCATACTACCACGAAACATATCATTTATACACACGCTATTTCACAAACATTATAGTAAATGTTTTACACAAGACTAGCAAAGCTTCAATCTAATGTAAAGAACATAATTATGAAAATCATTGTGTTCATAGACTTTTTATAAGCCTTAATAACAGGACCAAAAATGTCACTGTGGTTATATCACCAAGTGACCAGTAAGATTATAACAGCGTAAGCTTTAAAAGTGATTACATGAAATACGGTACTCTAAAAGCATTATAAGCTTTCTTCAACTACTGGTGAAGATTTAAGCAAGTAAAAAGTAAAGTGACAGCCTATACGTGTCCCACTATCCGGAAAAGACCTTCTCTGTAAAGAACCCTCTACATTAGAGCATAAGTCTACCATCGCGGCACCATCGTGGATTTGCGGACTTCACTTCGAAACAGTTTTTTTTATTATTTCGAAAATGTATTCATTCACCGCTAAGCACGTTATAAGTCAGCACTTAAAATTAACAATTGCAATGGTGCCGGCACCGGGGATCGAACTCAGGTTGCTCGAGTAATTGAATTAAAAGCGAGCGCCCGGACGATAACTATAATGACTCGAGCAAGATCATTGATAGGGATGATAAATGACACATTTAATAACAATGTTGTTTTACAGAATAAGCACGTTAATTCCCACATAGTAATCGCATAAGAGAAACATCGAAGTTCAACTCGCGATCCCTATTGCCTTGTCACATCCTGCCGCAAATCCTAAGTGCCTCAGGATTAAAACCAGGTGTCGAGTTGTGAGAGCGTGACATGTTCGACTCTTCACGCCTGTCTGAACTCGTTTGAGGTCCGCCGTGACCCGTTTAGAACCCCCTCCCGCGCACGAAGTTAACAGCGGGGTGGAACACTCCCTTTTGATAAGATTCCTCGATTAGAATTCGCATTCGAGATATTCCGAGAAATACAGAGCGGGGTAATGAAGACTTTGTGGACGATTATATATTTTAAAATGTCAGCTCTGGCGTAAACTGTACGTTATTAATGTCTCAGTCTTAATTACGAGCTACTTAAAATAACTGCCAACGAGTTGCAGCTCTAACACTGTTAACATTTTATGCACGTCCGAAAAATAGAGTGTACTTTAAATTTTGTATCGCAACGATTTGCTTCCGGCGGCGAGTTCAATAAATAAGGATAAAGCCCATTAGTGGCGGTCCAGCAAATCTTTGGCCGCCGAACGCCACTTACTTAGACTTAAAGTGTTGCGGGAGCTATTCCGTTAAAGATTTCGGATTGCGATGTCCATTTTGAAAATATTTCATTGGAAGCTGCAATTCCATTTCACGGCATCATATGATCATTGATTGTGATAAAAATTAGGGGACATGGGACATAATTGAACTCTAATTTGACGTGTACCAATGTTATAATTGTTAACAGTATATGATTGTTGTCGAATTAACACCTGTGTAGTTGTTTTTTTCGCAAAAAATAAAATATTTAAATATTTTCTCCCCCTGCCGCCGATAAAACTAATCCATATAAAAATATTTCCCAACGATACGAGAAACAATAAAACTTTCGTCTAATACCAATTGAGAGGGTCGCAAACATACATGAATTATAGGGTCCGTCTGAGACCGATCTATTGCTGACCCTTCCATATCTCTAATACCCCGGGATCAGAGAAATATAATACGCGAGGAGAACCGTATTTATTTGTGCTCACTAAGGATCTGCCCCTCATATGTTAAGATGTTTGACCCGCCAAAATTAGATGATAACAATTTGGTATAGCGGCTTCTTGATCTTTTGATTCATTGAACTTTCGTGATCTAAAAGTTGATTTTATGAAATTTTAAATAGTAATGTTATATTTCACTTTACAGAGGACTGTAAACTGAAATATACCATCACAAGAACCTTCCCAGGAGAGAAGGAGACTATTTTCTGGTTATTTTAGTTAACAAGTGATCACGTCTTTGAAATTAATGCACTATCTAATGTTTCGTAGATTTCTTTCGTGCCAACTTAAAGTTTATTGCTTAAATTTATAATTTATATGTTCGTTGATGCTAGTTTTTTTACAGGCTTAAAACTAGAAAAAAAATTACAAAGGTTATAATTTAGGTACTAAGTACCTGAGAAACATACCTAATCATTTTTCAAAGAGAAGTAAATAAATATATAGATATAGTAACACTGATGGCTCTATGGCGCAGGTGCTAAGCCATTAGATTCAGCGCACCGGAGGTCTTGGTTTCGATTCCCATAAGAGATCTATCACACACAAGTATTTGTGGGTGATAGTTATGCATATGGGTGTTTCCTTCCTAGATTGACGTCAAGCACGCGGCGGTGGTAAAAAAACATGATTCACATGTTTTTTGATGTGCAGCCGAAGGAGTGTGATATAGTAACCCCCAGACAGGGCACTTAGGCGTAGAATCAGATTACAACTTATAAATTAAGGTATACATTATAACAAAAATAAACATAAGTCTCACTGATGGGTAAAGACCTTCGTACAGTGTATTTATAAGCTCAGTTAAAATATACAGCAATAACTACCTCAACAGGGCGATTGATGTTAGACTCT